AAAAACAGCCTGTGAACAACCTGGAAGTCCTCACGCTGAGCTACAAGGTGAACACTGCAGTTTGTGCTTTGGTGTCTGTCGGTGCGTTGTTCAATCTGCCACCTGACGTTTCCTGGTACGTGTCTGCACAGGTTCCCTGGCCCGTGGACATTGTGATCAGCTCTGAGTGTCAGAAGATCTACAACCAAGTGTTCCTCCTCCTGCTGCAGATCAAATGGGCCAAGTACAGTCTGGACACTCTTCGATTCAGTGGTACGAGCTCCACGTGAAGCTGAAAACTGAAAATAAGCCCGTTTCAGTCATTTCTCTGATAAATGGTTGTTATTCGTAGGTTTTACAGACGTCACTAAGAAGCTGGAGGGCGCCACAGCCGAGGAGGTCAAGGTCAAAGAGCGCGTGAACCAGCAGATCCACAGGATGTGTCTGCTCAGGGTCAAACTGATGCACTTTGTCAACAGCCTTCACAACTACATCATGACGAGGGTGAGGCAAGCCACCAAACTGACCTCCTGCAAACAGGAAGTGCACCCATGACATTCAATTCACTTAATTTTTATTTGCACAGCACCAAATTACAACAGCAGTCACCACAAGGTGCTTTATATTGTAAGGTAGACCCTACAATCAAATATACAGAGAAAAACCCAACAATCCTATGACCCCCTATGACCATGCCAATTGTGACAGTGAGAAGGGAAAATTCCCTTTTAACAGGAAGAAACCTCCTGCAGAACCAGGCTCGGTGAGGATGAGGTGAGTCCTCACTGCACTCTCAGTTTGACCAACTCTGGCTCTTCATCTGTTTTGTGTCTCGGCAGATTCTGCACAGCACGGGACTCGAGTTTCAGCACCAAGTGCAGGAAGCCAAGGACTTGGACCAGCTCATCAAGATCCATTACAGATACCTGGCCACGATTCACGACCGTTGTCTGCTGAGGGAGAAGGTGAACTTTTATGATGGTGCCGTCACCACCAGTCTGACTGCTGACGCAATCAGCTGTAAAGAAGGTTCCTGTTTGTTTGAGATGATGAAAAAGCGTTCGTTCGTTTACGAACACGATGAGCAGCTTGAGGTGTTTCTCAGTTTTCCTGCTTTAGTACAAAAAATGCTGCTGCACCATCAGCACCGCTGCTTGTACTGACCTCACTGTAGTGTGTGATGGCGGGCAAGTAAATAAATTGGATCTGATAAGACAGTGATTCTTTATGTTTCCAGGAAAACTTGTAAAACACTGTACTGTGGGTGGGACCAGAACCTTCAGTGGGCCGAATCTCACTTTGGCTCCCTGCTCAGACTCAACCTGTTTCTACATGTTGTCTTTTCTCAGGTCAGTTTTGTGAAGGAGGCGATAATGAAGGTTCTGAATCTCGTGCTCATCTTCTCGGACAGATGGCAGGCTGGAGCCTGGAAGTAAGAGCGATGCGTCTATTCAGTGGTGTTGATGTGACAGTTGTGCGCATCCAGGTACAGAGACGACACACCAGCTCTGCAGCTAAATGTTGTTTCTCTTTCAGGATCGAGTCCATCGATAAAATGGAATCTGATTTCAAAAACTGCCACATGTTCCTTGTGACGATCCTCAATAAGGCGGTGTGCCGTGGCTCCTTCCCTCACTGTGAGTCTGTCGTCTGGGTAATGATGTCATACGCAGTGATTGTGTACGGTGGTCCAAAGGTGCAGAACATCCGACTTGGAAAAGCTTAAATGTAAAATCGGTCAATGCTACGAGGCTGTCGGGATCCAGCTGCAGCGCTCTGTGTTTCCTCCGTACAGAGTGTGTCCGCAGTTCAGAGGGGATCGACTTCATAACGAGATATCCGCACAACATTTTCAGCCTGAAAATGCCGTTACGAGGGCTCGGGCGTGTGCGGTTAAAGTCTTCCAAGGGCCAACAAAAGCCAACCTTCAGTTATTAACATCTGCATCAGCTCAGACTCAGGAACCACAAGTCTCCTGCAATCTGATCCTTCGAGGTCAATTTAACAGGATATGAAAGTAATAAATGAGAAATAGGATGTTTGTGCTGGTCATCCTGTCAGCACACAGGATTGAATGATTGAAAACCTTTCCAGTTAGTGAAATATGTGTTTGGCACCTCTGGGCCACCGTAGCTGTCCGGTGTGTTGTTGTATGCTGTGAGCAGAGAGGAGCTGATGACGTCTGTCTCTCTTGTTGTGCAGTGGAGTCTCTGGCGCTCTCTCTGATGGCGGGGTTCGAGCAGTGCTGACGAGCCGGACACGAGCACGCTCTGTGACGATATCATTGTCTGCTGAGACGGACTCAGACCGGCCTGCTGCTTCTCCACAAATTTCATGAATGCTTGTATTTTAATATTAATAACGTCTGTGACGAGGCAGAATAAAGATGTGACAATATGTGCTGACATTTGACTCCGTTATTCACTTTACGTTGTGTAAAGGACCGTGACCCGACAGACTGGGTTTTTTAAATTGATTTTGCACTCATGTACAACGTCCTAGTTCAGCACACACACACACACACACACACACACACACACACACAATCGCCAGCTGTCTGCATACTGTCTCACTTCAGTCTCCGCCCTCACTTTACGAAGGGAGGAACCCCGTTAGTTTAATCATGTCCACCTGATTTATATATTTGTTCTGGTTAAACAAGGGTTAAGTTTCTCCGAGGGTTGATGAGCTCTGATGAGAGCCTATTGTTTTACTTCACTTCTCGCGTGTCAGCCAATCGGTGCAGCTCTTGTCCCTCCTTAGTACCACCTCCCAAGTTTTCAGTCGCTTGTTTCTACAGCCGAACAGAGCAGGCAGACTTTTTTTTTTTTTTTTAGAACTTTATTTATAAACAACAGCATAACATACAAGGCACCATCATTAATCCGAATATGTAATATCCTCGGTTGAGCGTTACAACGAGAAAAGAGGAGGAAAAAAACTAAACAATAAACACAAAGCCAACAGAGTTAACAAAAAAGAAAGAACAGTCATTGAAGGATTTGAAACTAAATCAATATGAACAAAAAAGGGCAGTCATGATCATTAAATAGGGAGGTTTCTTTTTTAACATAGATTAAACTTGTTAAATAATACAACAAGTTTATGAGCTTTCTTGTTATTGACAAGTTTCAGCGATTTGGCCCAGAGTTTAAAGTCATTCAGACATCTGTTTATACATGGTTTAGCTTTAAAATATCTGCATTTGTGAATAAAAAAATTTTCCAGTAACAAAAACGTCCTAATCAACAAGTCAAAATCTGCATTCTCATCAAGTTTTCCAAATTTAATTACTGTCACCGTCAAATGTGGTAACTGAATTCTCTGTAGCCAGCTCCACATGTCAGTCCAGAAGGAGTGCACTGATTCACAAGTGATCTAGACTTTCAATATCATTTTCACAAAATGTGCAGGCGTTCACATCTAAGTTAAATTTCCATCTTAAGAATTCATTGGTTGGATAAACCTCATTTATGATTTTAAAGTTAACCTCTTTTACTTTAGGGGAAAGAGGAAGTGAGATATACTTTCTTCTTATCGCCTTAACCTCCATGGTGTCGAATTCTTTAAGAATATAATTTCTTTTAACCGGATTAGGGCAAATTTCATTTATCAAAATATTCCTGATCACCTTGTTTGTAAACCTGCTGTCACCAAATTCAACTCCGGCTATGCAGAGCTGTCTCAGTCCAGGAGAAATTTTAGAGTGCACAATATCTTCATTTATCATTGATCTCAAAGGGACTGGGATGGCTTTTATTAGGGATTTATATCTCTTAGCAGTACATCTTACATCAAATTTCTCACAAAACGTCTCATGTTTTAATAAGACCCCATTCTTGTCCATAAAATGAGCTACAGCCCAAATCCCTTTAGATCTCCATTCATCCATGTACGCAGATTTCCTACACAGACGGATATACCTGTTGTTCCATATAGGGGTATTGTGAGGAGTAAAGTTATATTTTTAGATTAATTTCCAGTAGAGAAGGACCTGCTGATGGAAAGCTGAGAGTTGAGCAGGCGGACTAAAACTTTGTTATCGAGGGCAGAGCGAAACCGGAAGGTTTACTGAGATGTGGCTTCACGTAAACGCTGACCATCCACTTGACAGCGGTCAGGTTTTTGTATGGGACGAATCCAAAGACCAGGTCAGCGATTCCAGAACCCAGAGTGTTCCAGTGTTCACTGGATGGCGAGCCAACCCAAGATCCTAGGAGACGATATACATATACACGCACACTCATTTGCACATTGATGGACTACAATCCTCTACTGTACAAGTAGTACGGTAGGACAGACAATCACACACACACACTCCTCATTGGATGGACTCTAATGCAATACACCTGTTTGTCATGGGTCCTACTGGTACCATTTGGACTTAAAAGGACTAATTCTTTTACTTGTGCACAATTTTATTTTTATTCTATTTTTTTGCTACTTTGGGGGAAAGTTTTATACTTGAAGTTCTGTTAAAACCTGTTGTAATACTGTGTTGTTTACAAAATTCTTTTAAAAGGCTTAACATCACTAAAGTACTTTTAAGCCAGTGTTTGTCTGATTTCTCTGCCATAGTAATAGTAGTAGTAGTAAAATAGTTTTTAATTTATTTCTTGCATATTTCTACAACTCCTATCAAGAACACATTCTGAGTGTGCGTGTACAATCTACCATTGTATATATTGTATTATCTTATTTATTTTGTATTTCTTGTCTTTATATTCTGGTATACTCTTTGTATTCTTCTACTATCTGTACCTGAGCTGTGGTAATGCACAAATTTCCCCGCCGCAGGATCAATAAAGTCTTATCTTATCTTACCTTATCTGGACAGGTGCACAAACGGCAGCTTGCCGATGTCATGATGCTGACCCGTCTTTAAATAAATAACAAATCATTTTATTATTAATAATGGATAAAAACTGTGGAACGTCTAAGGCTGTAAAAACCAGAAAAGGATTGATAAATTAATTTGTTGTTCATTAGCTCTCCTGATCATGGCGCCATCACACCTGTGTGATGTCTGAGAGCCCTGCTGGAAGCAGCAGAAGAAGAGAGCCGGCGCTGCACACTGATTGGCTGCAGAGAGGGGCGTGCGGCGGAGCACAGAGATGGCAGCGGTGACTAGAGGCTCTCTCGGCGCGTTCAGGCGGCTGCTGGTGAGCAAATACAAGCTTCGTGTTCTCCTCAAAGGCTCTGTAAGCGCTTAATGCTGACCTGCGGCTAATGCTAACGGACATGCGTGCGCAACGTCACCAAGCTCAGTGCATTAGCATAGCTAGCCAATGGGCTAGCTGATGCTAACCCTAATGGAATGAGACAGCCTCTGAGCTAGCATGCTGTGGCTAACATCTAACAACTGCGACTGCTTCCTGACGGTTAGGAGCTGTTTCCGGGTCAGGGTATGGGTCAGAACCAGAACCGGCTGTGTACGGGTTCTGACTCAGATCTGAGCTCAGTAATTTTTAGGGTTTGTCCTGCAGGTGAAACTTGCTTCACCTGCTGCCACCAGGACAGGTGTTTGTTCCAGACGTCAGGAGCAGATGTGGTTTCAAACGACGGAAACGACGTGGTTGACAGGTGGTCCTCCAGTGTTGGGGATAACTTTCAAAGCGAACTTCCTGTCTTATTTAGTGAGAAGTGACATGGGACTGAGAAGTGACATGGGAGTGAGTCAGCTTCGAGAAATTCAGAGGAAACCTGTAATAAGAAAACACCTGAGCAGGGTTTCTGTCGGCAGGTGACAGCCTGTAGGCCATTTCCCATCATCCCCCACTTCCTGAAAGTGTCAAAGTCAAGCTCAGCATTATTTTCAGTGACTAAATCAGTGTAAACTCACTCTGTTTACTCATTTTCATGCAGATGAGGAAACATAGATCTGGTGCCACGGTGTCAGAGGCATGTTGTTTTTTTTTTTTATTGCCTGGCATTTTTTCTCTGTTAGGGTTACATCGCCACCTTGTTTAAAATAACACCTGTATGCATCTTTATTAGAACCTGAAGGAGTTTCATGTTTGAGTTTAAGAGTGCTGGTGCTGGTCTGACATTTAGGACCTGAAGGAAGTACCATCAGGCCCTGAATATCAGGGGGCGTGGCTTTGAAGCACCTGTGTGTTGGCTGGTCCAGGTGACCTCTGTTATCTGCTCTTTTCCCATCAGCTGAGTCAGCAGAGCCGCAGATCTTTCCAGCTGCAGAGCTTCAGATGTGACAGGACTCTGCAGCCAATAACCTTCAGGTGTGACAGGAAGCTCCAGGTGTTCAGCTGCAGAGGGCTGCATGTCGCTGTGGGTAAGTCCAGACCGGCAGCACCTGAGTCCTGGCCTCTTCTGATCTCTCTACTATTGCCATGGAGATCTGTATCATGGTGAACTGTTCTGGGTTTTCAGCTGTGTGATGGACTCTGGGAGAATTGAGGCAGATCGCTCATGGTGGTGTACGCTGACCTCCATCAGCAGATTGTTTTGTCCCTCTCTGATAATGTCACTGTTTTGTTTTGTTCGGCAGTGAATCAAGGACCTATCGTGCAATTCAAACTGTCTGACATCGGTGAGGGAATCATGGAGGTGACCGTCAAGGAGTGGTACGTGACCCCCCCCCCCCCAAAAAAAATAAGAGTCCAACAGCTCAAGCACCCGTTTTTATTGTCATGACAAAATTTTGGTATTGTTTTGTTTTTAAAATGAAGCAAACCTGAAACCCCAGAGTTTGTAAGAGAACAAACAGGTGAACATATGAAGCGATTAGGATGTACTACTTGTAACTTGTAACCTGTGATGAAGTATAGCTTGTTAACTCGTTACACTCCAGTTTGTTCATGTAAATAGAGAGTCCTCTTCACACACTAAAGTTAAATATGGAGTTCAACAGGGTTCAGTGCTAGGACCAGTTCTGTTTACATTATACATGCTTCCCTTAGGTAGTATCATCAGAAGGCATAGCATCCATTTTCACTGCTATGCAGATGACACACTGACAACTTTATCTATCCATTAGGCCAGATAACACACACCAATTAGGTGCAGGAATGTCAGGAAGACCTAAAGCCCTGGATGACCTCTAATTTTCTGAATTCAGATAAAACTGAGGTTATTGTACTTGGGACAGAAAATCTTAGAAATATGGCCTCCAATAACACTGTGAGGAACCTTCGAGTCATTTTTGACCAAGATATGTCCTTGTGCATATTCAGGTCGTGTGATTTAAAAGTGCATAAATAAAACTGGATTCCTCTGGCAGGTACGTAAAGGAAGGAGACAAAGTTTCTCAGTTTGACAGCATCTGTGAGGTTCAGAGCGACAAGGCATCGGTCACCATTACCAGCCGCTATGATGGGGTCATCAAAAAGCTCTACTACGATGTAGATGCCACGGCCTTTGTGGGAAAACCGCTGGTGGATATTGAAACAGAGTCTGGCTCAGGTGAGACATCGGCAGATCTTTGCTCGTCTGCCCGTCCAAGTTCACGGCTGAAAGTCTCACTGCTGTTATCCTTCAGAGGTGATCCAGGAGGAGGACGTGGTAGAGACGCCTGCCATTGCTCAAGAAGAACACACCCACCAGGAGATCAAAGGTCACAAGACGCAGGCCACGCCTGCAGTTAGACGCCTCGCCATCGAGAACAATGTAAGTGTGATTCCTATTTGTCCCCATCGGGTTGTCCCAGTCTGTCCCACTGTGTTCCCAGTTGAGGTGTCGCTTTGCCCTCAGATAAAGCTCAGTGAGGTGGTGGGGACTGGCAAAGATGGTCGGATCCTGAAGGAGGACATCCTGAACTTCCTGGCGAAGCAAACAGGAGCCATCTTGCCTCCAACACCTTTCCAGGAGATTCAGACTCCGCCCCCGGCCCCTGCTGCTGCTCCTGCTGCTGCCAAGCCTGTGAGCACTAAGGCGGCTGTGAAACCTCCACCCGCTACTCCTAAACCTGTCTTCACTGGCAAGGACGTGACGGAGCCCCTCAAAGGTCAGAGATTGCTGTCACACCCAAGTGTTGCGCTGTTCACTGCGAGCCTTGCATGTCATCTCTTTTCTCTGTAAACATTCTGATTGGCTCTTCAGGTTTCCAGAAAGCGATGGTGAAGACGATGACTGTGGCGCTGAAGATTCCTCACTTCGGTTACTGTGACGAGGTTGATCTGAGTCGCCTGGTGGCTTTGAGGTCAGAGCTGAAACCTCTCGCCGAGAGTCGTGGTGTCAGACTGAGCTACATGCCCTTCTTCATCAAGGTTGGGGGTTAAGGCGCCATGCACGAGCTGCCGATCGATCCCATGTTTGGTATTGAAGTTAATGCTGTGCTCTCATTGGCTCAGGCTGCCTCCCTCGGTCTCCACCACTTCCCAATCCTCAATGCCTCGGTGGATGAGGACTGCCAGAACATCACCTACAAGGTAAGAGCACGCTCTGAGCCGGCTTTGCTTCCCTGGCTGCTCAGTGGCGTCATTAGTGCTGATGGTAGTGTTTCATGTGATTCAGGCGTCCCACAACATCGGCCTGGCAATGGACACAAGTCAGGGTCTGCTGGTTCCCAACGTGAAGAATGTCCAGCTGCTCAGCGTGTTAGAGATTGCCCTTGAGTTGAACCGCCTGCAGGTACTCGGAGCATCGGGTCAGCTGGGCACTGCCGACCTGATGGGGGGCACTTTCACGCTGTCCAACATTGGATCTGTGAGTCTGAAAACAACAGCGACACAAAATATCACAACAGTGCTGAGAGAAGCTGCACTGACCTCACTCTGCTTGCTGTGTTCGAACCAGATCGGAGGCACGTACGCCAAGCCCGTGATCCTCCCACCCGAGGTCGCCATCGGCGCGCTAGGAAAGATCCAGGTGAGCCGTGGTCAGACCGAACACACACACAGACTCAGGTGTGTTTTAGTTTACTATGAGAGGAAAAAGGGTGAATAGCACAAGATATCAAAGATCGCAATAAAGAACAAGAAGATGGTCTAAAGTGTACCTCACCTTGACTCTGATTACCTGTTCTATTTCGATATCTTCAAGAATATAAAACATTTGACCTGGTTTGTAAAATATTAAATATGAATTTATTTTATAAATTCATATAAATATTTTATAAATTATTTAAATCAGTGTCTTCAGGAGAATGATGTTCTCTGGCTTTCGGAGGAGGGTTTTGTTCCTCACTCTGAAAAATAAACTGTTATTTTGTTCAGAGGAAGGAAAACTTACTAAGGTGTGCTTGTGGTTTCTTCGTGAATCACAACTGGAAGTTAAACCGGACCGTCTGACTATCAGGTGACTGTTCAATCAGCTGGCAGGCTCTGAGCATGCTCAGATACCCACCTGATGTTCTTCTTTCTTCTGTGAAACCGCAGGAGATGGTGCATGGACCATAATTCAGGAGTTTATCCATTCAGCTACGCTGTTACCTGCTGCTGAGGATGTGGCATTACAGAGCAGCTGTTTGTTTTTTAACACGGCTTGCTGACTTCCTGTCTGTGTGTCCAGGTGCTGCCGAGGTTCGACGCTGCTGGTCAGGTGGTCCCAGCTCACATCATGAAGGTCAGCTGGTCAGCGGATCACCGCATTATCGACGGCGCCACCATGTGTCGCTTCTCCAACCTGTGGAGGGAGTACCTAGAGAACCCGGCCAGCATGGTGCTGGACCTCAAATAAACAGTTTCCCAATCAGCCCCGGGGAGGGCGGGACACCACGCTAACAGACCTCACTGCTCCGCCTCCTTCTCCTCTCCCTGCCTTCACTTCCTGTTTCTGTCTGAGGCCTTAATGCCAAATGTCATTTCCTTTTTGCCTTTAAGCAAGGCACTGTGAGGAGAGGAGAAGGGGTCAGCCTATCAGAGGGCATACACAGTGTGAACTGGGGTCATGATTGTGGGTTCTGCAGGTCCAGTCTGGTGGAAATGACCAGAAACAGGAAGTGAGTTCCTGTCGAGTTCCTGCTCTGGAGCCTCAGGAGATAAATCGAGACAATTTGCCTTTTTTAAAATTAATGCAGGTTACTGCGTTTTAATGCATTAAAATCACAGACTGTATATAAAAGATGGCTACCATGCTATCACCCAGCAGTTAGTGACACCTTAAATTGGGTTTTTAACAATCACCATCAGTCACATGAAGCCCCGCCCTAAATCCTTACCTGCTTCCTGCTCCTTTACTACTCTAATTAGACCATCTCCTCCGAAATTAACTTCCTGTTTTCTTCACCAAAACACACCAGGACCATGAGCTGAGAGATCATACTCTCATAGACCTCAGGCAAGTCACCCACTGCTGGATGTTAGAGAGAATGCAGGTTTAAATTCTCTGTCCATCTTTTATATACAGTCAAACGCTGCAGAGCAGTTGTTGTCAGGTGTCCAGGTGAGATGCTCAAGTCTGAGATGAGCTGGAAGATGAGGGGAAACACCTGTAGCTGCACAGTGAGCGTGTCAGATGGTTTCACTCAGAGTTGAGAGCAGATTTAAATAAACTCATGTGATCGTGATGTCATCCACAGAATCTTACCTGCAGACACCTGATGTCCTGTCACTGTTAAATAATAATATTCATTTTCACTCTGTCTGAATTTCCTCCGCCAAGGCCCAGTTTTAACACGGGCTGTTCCATCTTGCCCACACGAAGCCCGACCCACCGGGTTCAGGTTAAACCTGCAGACTGCGTCCGCACGTACGCTTACCCTCGGAGGAGCTGACTCGATGGTTTGTAGCTGCCCTGAAACTCTAAAATCCTGAGCATTAAACTCCATATATTCATGTACTGTGAAATCATGTGACCAAGCGTGATCGAAGCAAACGTTGCTGGATCGGATCATGCTCGTGTCAGTTGGATCAGTCAGGCAAACTCATTGTCGGTCGGATGGTGATTGCAGTTTTCTCTGCTGCTGAGCAATCCGTGGTGTGCTCACATCATCGCGGGGGTTTGTGAGCAGTGCCATGGTGTTTTTAGTTCATTTTGTCAATCTGGTTCTGTTTGATTATAAAATCCTCCTCACAGTCCCGCTCATGAGCCTTGACCACGTTTGAATTGTGACCAATGCAGGAAACTGTTGGTATCATGCGAGCGCACCAGTGGGAATGACAGTTATTGTCAGTGTGGAGGGGGGGGGTTTGTGTCCTTGGGCTGACACCATTAACCCTCTGAAGCTGCTGCTGTGGAGCTCTTCCTGTTGACCTGACTCCGTTATTTTTGCTCGTCGTATTTATTAGTGACTGTTACTGCAGACCGCACTGAGAGTCTGCCAGCTGTTAAACTCCATCTTCTCAGCATCTGGAGCATGGACACGGCAAATAATCTGAGATTAGAGTTGAAATTAAGGATTATGGTTCGTTTTAAATGTAAATGGTGTTATGTGGGATTTTCTTTCCCCTCCTCCTGCACAGCTTCACACTGCACTGGATCTTTTATTTCGGGAATTTCTTTGTGCTTTCAAAAATAGTAAGAATTTCTTTTGTTATATCAGGTTTATAAGGCTGAATTGGGTTAAATTCTGTCGGTAACGCCAGTCCGGACCTTCATTATGTGTCTCGGGCAGAAGCGCGCCGACTTTGGACATCAGAGCAGGAAGCTGGTTTCAATTAAACCTCGGCTATAACCTGATAACTATATCTGAGGTGATGGAGCCATGATGTAGCGCTGCAGAGTTGTTGGTCGGTCCTCCTGGACTTCCTCGCTGTCCTGGTGGCTGCTGGGTAAAGAGCACTGTGTCGGGTTATGTTGGTGTCACGTCGTCTTCTTTTTGTTAGCGTCGTCGGTTTTAGCGACAGATGAAATGTAAACGTGTAAAAAGTGTTTTGTATGTTTGGGAGTGGGTCGGATTCAAAATGTGTGAAACTCAATAAAACCTCTGAATACAGCTGAACACGACTCGTGTGTGTGTGTGTGTGTGTGCGTGTGTGTGTGTGCGTGCGTGAAAGAGTGTGTGCGCGCGTGCGCGTGAGAGCCTATGTTGGGGAAAGGGGGTGGGGGGTAACCCTCAGTAACCTGCAGCTCTGGTCCCGATCAGCTGATGGTATTTTTAGTGTGGGTCTGTCCTCAGATGCAGTAACAGCCGGTCATATGACCGCATGTCTGTAATCTGTCATGTGATGTGTCACCTGAAGGCTATAATTATCGAGGAGAGCCGAGGTCAGATTTCAGCAGACAGGACGCAGCATGGAGGAGAGCTGCAGCTCGGCCACAAGGTGACGAGTAATATCCGTGTACTACAGCAGGTAATACTTCATATAATGCTACAGTATTAATACTGCTGTTGTACTGGTACTGCTCCTACTGCAGGACTGAAACTTCTCTGCTTCAGTAGCTGGAAACTGTCTCTGGTTGTTTTTGATGTTTGAGCAGAGTGAATTTGATGGGTTTTTAATTAATGGTCAGTAAATTGATCTGAAACATGATTTCTGCTGGAGATCAATAATCAGTGTCACAAGATGGTCAGCGTGGGGATGGGGCTACAGCTCAGATAGGTTATCCTACATGTCCACCTGTGTGCTGTAACATCACAAGGCTGACAGGAAGTGGTGATGATGGTGGGCGTGGTGGTAGCGTGCAGCTCGGTGAGCTCCATCAAAGCACTGTGGGAGACCAGGATCAGGAGGAGGAGGGAGGAGCATGAGGAGGAGCACAAGAGGAGGACCACGAGGGGCGGGGCCACAGGCAGGTCAGACCACACCCAGTCACTTGAGCACACTTTCTGTTGGTATACAGTGCTTACTGGTCAAAGTGGGGATCTACAAAAACTGCTCTATGAACCTTATAAAAATTACCCATAATCCTTTGAACTGGTTCATCTTCAGTGTTGGGACCTCTAGTCCCACCCACTTCCTGTTTCTCTCGCAGTGTTTCTACCATAGAGTAAATGAAAATTTGGTGAACCTGAAAAAAGATGAGTCAGTTTCAGAGGGGGGATGAACCCAGTGGTTATGTCCATCTCTTACATACAGTCTTGTCTGAAAGCAGCCATGTTGAATCTCTGCATCAGTCAAACTGTATCAGGACAGAATGTTTCAGCCAGTCAAGGAGAAGACCGGGGGAAACAAATTATTTAAAACAAAAAAGTGTAAAAAATAAAGTCATAAAGATCAAACACATTAAAGACAAAAACATGACGAGAAAATAAAACGAAATAATAAAGTTTGGAAAAAAAGGTAACTGAAGTGATGTCCCAAGTCAGACCGAAGAGGTTTCATCACTTGGTGATTTTGGTCCAGACTTGGAGTCGGGCTTTGGGAAGACCGAGCGGCGCTGGCCCGGCTAAAGCAGAAGCTGGAGATTGAGGACGGCCGGCTGGTCCTCCGGATTGAGCAGGAGGAGTGGAAGGTAACGCCCCCCTCGCAGGAAGCACACTGAACTGTCACTTCAGCGCATTGTGAGCTCGCTGCTCTGGTTTCCAGGTTCTGCCAGGCTGCCTGATCCAGCTCAGTCAGGTCCAGGAGTGGCAGATCCACCGGACCGGACTACTGAAGATCCCTCACTTCATCTCTAGCTTCCAGAACCTTCTGGTGCTCGATCTGTCTCGGAACGGAGTCGCTGAGATCCCCAAACAGATCGGTGAGCTCACCTCGATTTAATCTGCCTGTGAGCCATGTTTTCTGGTTCTGTGTGCTGTGAGCCATGTTTTCTGGTTCTGTGTGCTGTGACCTCACCTGGTTTTGGTCTCAGGAAAGCTGACCCGGCTCAGAGAGCTGCTGCTGAGCTACAACAGAATCCCGTTTGTCCCGGCAGAGCTGAGCGGGTGTGAGAGCCTGGAGAGGCTGGAGCTGGCAATGAACCGGGACCTAAATGAGCTACCAGACCAGGTGAGTGCCTGAACCTATGCCTCGTTACCGTACACCTGAAAAGTAAGGCCTGGTTCTGGTCCAGTCTGAGCTCAGGTGTGCTTCTCTCTCTGACCTTCAGCTCGGGACGCTGTCGCGGCTGCAGCATGTTGATCTTTCCATGAACGACTTCAGCTGCCTGCCTGCTTGCCTGCTCGCCCTGCCGGCGCTCGAGTGGCTCGACATGGGAGGAAACTGCCTGCATCACTTACCTGAAGACATACACAGGTAGGAGCTGGGACATGGCCTAGGCTCCATGTTGAGTCTGTGTTTCCACAGGCACTGCTAGTTTAGAGACTTATTCCTCATGAAGAACGAAAAACAAGACAGAACATCTTCAACCGGTCTTTTACTCGCTAACGAGGAAAGGCTTGGTCAGAACCAGGGTGTGAAGCTAAATGCTCCTCACCTGTCTCCAGACCAACTCCTTCAAAGAGCAGCTCTCCTCGCAGCTATTTATTGACAAACTGTTACAATATACATCACAGCACAAGGACCTCCCACCGTAAAACCCCCCAATGGTTCTAACAGACAAGGCACTGTGTGTATGTGTGTGCACGTGTAAGCACGTGTGCAAGAATTTGTGACCTCCTGCTCACCAAAAGGATCATAAAAGCAGAAAGCTTACCAAACATCAAACAGAACCTTCAGATACGATGTATCTACAATAAAACCCACGTCAGCCTCCCCCAGCACTAAATTGGCTGGAGAGGTGGTCAGACAAAGGAATGTCTTTGATCCTATAGTTTAAACTAAGACTTTAGAAATTTTACAAAATTTGACTTAACACTCAACCGCCTTTCTGTCAACAGCCAGTGATCATGTGTTTTTCCTCAGAATGGAGGTGCTACACACTCTGTGGCTGCAGAGGAACGAGCTGGAGAAGCTTCCGGAGAACATCGCCAGAATGAGGAGCCTGGACACGCTGGTGCTCAGCAGCAACAGGCTGAGAGACATTCCACCGCTCATGGAGGGCATGTCCAGCCTCAGGTGAGTCTGGCCATCCTCACGCACCTGCCCTCCCTCTGTCTGGCATCACTCACTTCTTCGCTTCCTCGGAGCAGGTTTGTGAACTTCCGGGATAACCCCCTGACTCTGGACGTGACGCTGCCGAGCAGGAAGGCGGTGGCTGAGGAGGAAGAGGAGGAAGATGACAGGGAGATGTTCGGGAAAGAGTTCATGCTCATGTACATCCAGGAGGCCCGAAAGAGAGCGTACGCCGTGCTCAACGTGCACTGCGTCAACCGTTAGTACTGAGAATGCTCACTGACCTGGGTGCGCTAACACGCTAACCTGTGTGTGTGCCAAACATCTCATGGGGGCAGTGACCCTCGACGACGTCAACAAACGGGAAGCTAAACCCCAACTGACCCCTCTGACCTCAGGTTATTAAAGAGTGATGTCAACAATAACCACTGCGTTGTTCCTGCCATTCGGCACCATTTCAGGGTGATAACGTGGAAAAAAGTCACACTTTAGCATTTCACGTGAACAACAGCTACTTCACGTTTTTATGATTAAAAAGGAAGTTGAATTAAATTTGACCTGTTTTTAAATTAAATGTACTCACTTCAGTTAACCATAAACATACACAGAAAAAAATTTATTTAGTTCACTGTGAAAAAACAGAGAACCCTGCCCTGTACACAACCAATGAGAACCTCGCCCCATACCCAACAGAGTTTCATTAGATCGATCAGATCAGATGGTGAATTAAGGTGTTTACCATCCTTAATTCACCATTAAAAAAATACATCTAAAAGAGCTTTAGAAGCTGGATGTATAAACCTGAATTTAAATTTTATGGATTTATGAAGTGACTCTCTCACAGTGTCTGCAGGTTAAACTGAAGGTGCTCACCAGTATCAGCTTTTGCGTTTGATACCAACAGCACACGTATAACTTTAAATTTACATAGCTATTTGGGGCAGCATGGGGGCACGGTGGTTAGCACTGTTCCTTGCGTGGGTTCTCTCCGGGAACTCTGGCTTCCTCTCACAGTACAAAGACATGCAGTTAGTGGGGTTAGGTTAATTGGAAACTCTAATTTGCCCATAGGTGTGAATGAATGTGAACAGTTGTTCGTCTCTGTGTTAGCCCTGCGACAGACTGACCACCTGTCCAGGCCATACCCTGTCTCTCGCCTTATGTTAGCTGGAATAGGCTCCAACCCCCTCACAACCCTGAAAAGGATAAAAGGATGGCTGGATAAATATTTGATGATAAATTCATATTTTCCTAGTTTTACATTAGTTGTATCACTGCACAGCTGCAAAACCCAACCAGCCACTAAGCTTATTATTTCTACCCTTTACATTTTTATATAAATTATATATGAAGCACAACATAAAAAAAAATAAAATGTCAGTTCATTTTGAATTTATCATAATTAACATTTAGTTTTGAATAGTTTCGTTGCTGCCTGACATGTTTAGAATATAAAGAATGTTTTAGAGATTGCAGCCCACAACTCATGCTTTCATTAAAACTATGCATAACCTTTTACTGTGAGAAAAATTAACAAGCAGGACATTTCATGCTTAAATCAGCCATTATTACTCACACGTGTAGACCACACCAAGGTTTTTCAACATGTTTACACTGTAATTGAGGGAAACTGTCCCAGAGGACCAATCAGGGGGATCTCCATAACAATTCAGGGACACGACACAAAGACTTTAATCATTAAAAGTGTTTTCATACAAAAATGTGGTGTAGAATATTCTAAGTTGGGCTTGTCTGGATTTCAAGAACTCAGATCACTGACTCAGTTTAGGCTAAAATAATGGAGGCATACAGAATATTTGGCCCGTGTTTATATCAAACCCTCATTTCTGTCTTTGGGGCTGAAATGGCACCGTATACGAGGAACAACCCGACATCATTTGAATGTTTTGTTGGTTTCAGCTGACACGATTTTCTCTTTGAATGTTTCAGAGTCCGATGGTGAGTCCAATGACGAATCCTCAGCATGAAATACGGCCCCATGTCTTTTTTTCTTCTTCTGAGCTTCTCCCTTTTAAAGACACTTTCACAAAGCCACACTTGTGCTTTTATTTTGAAAGACATTAAGTGGACAAGCAGGACGAGTCAAACTCCAGAAGTTTTCCAGCTATAGAATAATCTATGATTGTGCCATGTGACAGGCAGATTTTAGTGAGCATGCTCAGAACGTGGCTTGTTGGAAGACTGCAAACGTTTTATGTACATGAGGAAAAAAACACTTTAATATAAACAGAAAACACCTGAGCATGTTCAGTCTGACTTCCTGTAACTTAAAACTCAAAATTGCAGCTTACAATCAAACAATCAGGAGGAGTGGGGGGTGAGGGGTACAGCAGTCAGCAGGACGTTCTCCAGCGTGACATCACTGCTGATGTAACGAGTCAGTTTGCTGCTGAATCCTTTCATCTGCAGGAAGTGACACCTGCCGTGGTCAATCAGCTGTTTGCATAGACGGCCGAGCTGCTCACGTTCAGAAGCCGACAGAAACCTGTCACGCACAGACGTGCACACACATAGACACACAAACACAGTGTGTTAGTTCAGTGTAAACATGCAGACAGTCCTGATTATTATACGCTAGGAACATTAAACTCTAGCCCCTCCTTCTCTTCCAGTAGACCCTCCTGCTCCGAAGCTTGATTTTCATGTTCATCACTTGTGCACTGATGAGATCAGAGTATGTGCAGTGTCAGTCCTCCGTGTTTAGCCTGTGTGACACGCTGACATCAGCTCGTCACAGACCTTACACTGAATAGAGCTAATAAATATTTAGAAAAAGGATTTCCAGCTGCTTCATGAATCTATGGATCACATGTGTGAACTGAAATAAATCCACTCTCCTGTCCTTCACTTTGTCTCTGCAGCTGATTCTGAACATAAAACACTGACATGCTGCTGACTTGTGCTGATAGGTTGGTTAAACCTCCTTAAAGCCCAGCACAAGCTGCTCGATGTGGTGTTTGAAGGTGCTGATGTGAATCAGTAAAGAGGGATTATTCTTAACCGTGGATCATGGAAAGCTGCTCTAAAATAAAACCAGAGGAACGAAGACTTCTTCAAATCTTCATTGAGTAAATCTGATTTTTTTTTTCTAAACTACAGAAACTTTCTACTTCGGGCTGGGTCCATACAGCCATCGGTGACAGGTTTCAGGGGCAGAGGTCAAATATTTACCCATTCACAGCGTCTGTCTCTTCTGCTGGTTCGTGCTCTTCGCCATCTCCTCTCTGATTGGTCGGTCTGAGTCCACACGTGGCCCAACTGGACATCCGACAGAAAGCAGAGAACTCCCGCGCCCCGAGTCCTCTCTGCAGAAAGAACTGCTGCCCGACGTAGTGACGCCAATCACAGCGATGGTGGCAGCACAGTGCCACTGTCAGGCCCAGCACTGGGCCAGGACCACAACCTGTTGGTGCTGATTCAAGACCCCCTCCTGACCTTGGCTCAGATGGTTCTGATGGTCTGAGGCGTTTATGGGGCGGTTCTTCTTCCTCCGACTGTCCTGCAGTTTCCAGCAAACAGCGCAGAGCCAGATCTGAGAACGGAACCAGCATATGATGAGACTAGACAAGTACTACAGAAATGCTAGTTTCCAGGTGGATGTTGGTGTACTTCAGCTGAAGTTCTGAGAAAAACATAAACTGATCTCCAGGTTTTGCCCTGCCAGGTAAAACCAAACCCATCATGCTTCAGCACAGGTGGAGGTGTACTGCCATCAGAGAGCAGGATGGAACTTGCAGGAACCAGCGTAGAGCAGCAGTTACTGTGGAATTATGAGCCAGATGTTGCTTACCACCAATCAGAGCTGATTGGCTTTTTTGGCTGTTCTCACCTGTCGCCGCTCCACACAGGTGTTTACCAACTCCGACCAGAGGCAGTTTCTTCTCGCAGAGCAGAGGGACTTTACCTGAAAGCATGAGAGAAACAGGTCAGGAGAGGTCAGAGCACCACAGTGTCCATATGTTCCTGTCTTACTTAGATCCAGATGCTGAATGTCCACCTGCAGCCTCTCAAACTGAACTCCAGCATCCTGATGTTTCCCGTCCACCTGCAACAGAACGCACCTGTTTCACCTATCAATCAAACTGATCAGCTGCTTTCAGTCTTAATCACAGTCTGTACATAAAAGATGAACACACCATCAGTGTATGAGGTGTGAATCGGAGGAACACCGACATGCGACAGCGACGCTTCCACTTTTATTTTAAAGCCAGAAATGAAAATATGGAAAGCAGCAGGTGAGCAGGCGGGGTTCTGAAGGTACTTGGGTTGTCGGGGGTTTGGGTTTGAGTTTAGGGTGAAGTGGATTTCAGAATCAGGGCTGTACCTTGAACCGGGTGCTGCAGCGCTCCACCAGCAGCAGCTGCAGGTCTTCACAGGTCTTCAGATGCTCGCAAGTCTTCAGGGCCTCGTGGATCCAGTGGGACAGCTTCCCTCGACCCGCTCCGAACTCCACAAAGCACCGCCCCCTTCCCAGCAGCCCCAGCTCCTCCATGTGACCTAAGATGGAAGACTGAGCACACCCGGCAGGTCAGACGGAGATTAGTTTTACTTCTCAGTTTAATTCTTCAGCATGGAAATGAGATGAATACACAGACTAATGGTGCTGTCACCTAGTCTACCTGCTGCTTCAGGTGTTTGTGGGCGGAGTCTCCATTCTTTGGGTTGTGGAGCTCGTCGTGGAGGGCGGGGTGAGACTGGACGCTGTCCTCTAGATCGCACTGCAGTCCTACAACAACAGCAGGGACACCAGGAGAACATCCGCGGATTTACAAAATGTCCAAAAACTTTATGAGTCACACTTAACCCTAACCCAAATTAAACCCGAACTAAACATGACCTGAACCAAAACTAAAACTGACCTAAATTCAAACTAAACCTTAACCCGAAACGAGACCTAACCCCAAATAAATCAAAACTAAAGCTGATCTGAACCCAAATTAAAGCTGACTTAACCCTGACCTAAACTTAATTTACACCCAGTTTAAATATAAACTGAATCTAATCCCAATCCTAACCTACTCAGTGAAAAGACTGTCAGTTTTGTGATGTTTTGTGTCACATCAGCCAAACTGAAGCAGTCGTGTGAGATTGTGAGTACTTCAGCCATCACTGATCACCGGATCTCAGCAGCTCACCTTTGAACGCTGTCTTCAGTTTATCCACCAGAGTTTCCAACTCAGTCCTGCTGAGCTCAGACAGACTCACCTGTAACACATCACCATTATGATGTCACTATCATGATGTCACCATCACTGTCATCAGTGGTTATTATAGTATTTACTGTGCTGGTTTGTGCGTAATGAAGAAGTGTGTGATTGTGTGTGTAGACGCTGCTGTCCATTCTCGGTGCTTCCTCTGCTGTGAAACAAACTGTTTCCTGACAGTGTGTGTGTGAATCGAGCTGCTGTTGGTCTTTAGAGATCAGTGAATGTCTGCCTGGATGAGGCACTGTGAATCAAAGCGTCTGCAGATGTTTTACTTTACCAGTTCTTCTTTGATGAATCAGCATTCGACCACAAAACACCAACGTAAAACCACGAATCAGCTTTCTGTAAGCTGAGACTCCGTGTTAAATAGCCACGGGGCAGGTGAGTCGTTACCTGTCGAAGCGTCTCATCTCCATCAGCTGATCCAGCGTTGATGTTTTGGACAAAGTAAACCTGCAGGAGATCAAACGTTCATCTCTGTGGAAACACTTGGATAAACACGCAATCGCTGATCAACTGATGGATCAATAGCGTCTCACCGGTTTGGCTTTCTCTCTGGAGTTGCATTTCTTCAAGTGTTTCTGGAGTTTGTCTTCACTCACGGTGCTGAAACACATAAAAAAGCAGAGTAGGATCAATAGCTACCAGTGATCAGCTTCCTGTCAGCCGATCAATGACCTGATTGATGACTGATGTGTTGTCACTCACTGTTTGGGGTCCAGAGGACAGACGATCCTCCTGCTGCCACCCCCGTCCTCCTCCTGGAAACAGGAAACACATCACAGGCTCATGACATCACAGCTGATCGACATCATTGTTCTTCTTAAACTCGCTGATATCTGCAGCACGGGTCAGTCTGCCTGCTCAGATGTGAGCTCAGACCACCCCACTGATTTCTGAAATCTGGACGAATTCGTCATCGCTTCATGTACGCTCGTAGCTTTCCACGGTGAGTTTTTTTCAGGACGTTGTCCGGTGTGTCCATGGCAAGTTCGCATCTGGAAAAATTAAGAAAAAATTACGACTTCTTCTTCATCACTTCTATTGTTGCAGGATAGGATCAAAGTCTTCTCCGTGGTATCGACCATTGTATTCTAGTACGGTGGCGAGCCCAGTGCCAAATCCCCACAAAGACATCTGCAGCAGTGAGTCCAGAGCGCAGACTGACCCGTGCTGTTAAACCTCATACAGAACCCCATTACCTCACAATCACGAGCACTGAGCCTGCAAATAAATGAATGCATCAGATTTCTTCATGCAGCTTCAAATGATCCAACTCTAGCAGCTACAAACTGCTCACCTGCACTGAGCCACCGCAGACTCTTCAGGCATAACCTTGTGATCATCATCATGCCATTGCAAACTATATGATTCCTATGGTATGTCCACACGTGTGCCGTATATACAGGTGTACAGTATAGTCTGAATAAAGAGATCTTCATTCTGTGTGTGCATGCATTACATTAATGTAGTGCACACCTCATCATGATCTGTGGTTTGATCTGTAATAAGATATCCGACTTCATTCCAGACAGTGAGATATTAAGACTATATTGTAATCACTCCCCCGTTCAAATCCTTGAATTCAGGTGTTCCATCACTTCCATGTCCACGGGTGTATAAAATCAGCATCTGGGCATGGAGACTGCTTCTATACACATTTGCAAAGAATGGCTCGCTCTCGGGAGCTGAGTGAGCTCCAGCGTCGTGCTGTGATAGGACGCTAGAAGTGTCTTTGCAATATCCACAGCCAGCTGTTAGTGGGATTATAACCAAGTGGAAACGACTGGGAATGACAACAACTCAGCCATGAAGTGGTCGGCCATGCAAATCACAGACCGGACTCAGAGGATGCTGAGGATCATGGTGCACAGAGTTCACAGACTTTCTGCAGAGTCAACCTTTACACGCGTCCAAACTTCACGTGGCCTTCAGATTATCTTAAGAACAATGCGTGGAATGGGTTTCCATGGCAACCAGCTGCATCCAAGCCTTACATCACCAAACAAATAGCAAAGCATGTGCCACTGGACTCTAGAGCCATGGAGACGTGTTCTCTGGAGTGACCAATCACGCGTCTCCGATGGATGAGAGTAGGTTTGTGGTTGCCAGGACAACGGTACTTGTCTGACTTCACTGTACCAAGCGTAAAGTTTGGGGGAGGGGGTTTTATAGTGTGGGGTGTTTTCCAGGAGTCGGGTTCCACCCCTTAGTTCCAGTGAAAGGAACTCATCATGCTTCAGCAGACCGACACACTTTGGACACTTTCATCTTTGCGACTTTGTGGGCATACTTTGGGGATGGCCCCTTCTTGTTCCTGACCGGTCCACCTGGAGCCAGATCACACCTGAGCAAGTGACTGTATCCGTGAACTCACCATGGTCGCGTGCTCCCCGCAGTACTTTCTGCCTTTTCCCGCCACCATCTTACAGAAACGCTTCTTCTTCTGCACGAAGAAACAGCAGCGGCTGGGCTCCGGGGCCGCCATGTTGTAGGACACGAAAGCAGCTGCCTTCAGGTGCCCGATGGAGTGTGGGAAATACCACCGAAGAAGGAACACCACGTGGTTTACTGCGTAAAAACATGACGGCTGTCTAATAGATGGTTTTTTTTTTATAAATCACTGAAATGATTTTACTGTAGCTTTACCTGTATGGTTCGCGATCCCGTTTGGGTTTCTCAGCGTCAACTTAAAGAACAATTTAAAATTACCAATCTGATGATCCAGCTCTTAAAGTTTTTTCACTAAAGTCGAAAGTTAATTTTAATCCGCAGAAACGTGTCCTTATACTTTAAGATGTTTACTTTTCTGAGCAGGCTTCAGTTTGGTGAAGACTATTCGACGTTTTGATCTTTATTCTTTGGTTTACGAAACTATAAAACTCGTTTTTCCCGAGCTGCCCCTGAAAACAGCTCTGACTTCTGATTGGACAGCTACATGGCTGTCCATTCTCTTTGGCCGACTGATGTGCCATTTAAATCATTATCCCGCCTCTAGCAGCGGCGGGGTGGGGCTGTGGCTGAGGATGCTGTGACGTTAGCGGTGGACAGTCCATGCCATGATGGCGGCGGAGCGGGGCGGCGGTCCCGGCACTCCTCCCGGCTCTCCTGCCGGCGCCTCCCGGACTGCGGCGGATCACTCGGTCCTAGTGGTGGTGGGAACGCTGCGACCCGCGGAGCTGCTGGAGCGGGTACTGCAGCAAATAGAAACAGGTGAGTTCTGGAAGTTCAGGAGAATAGAGCTGCGGGGCCGGAGGTCCCCACAGCCCTTCACAATAAAAGTCCGGGAGGCTGCTGTTGTTAGAATGAGCTGTGCCCGGTCCGAAGTTTTAGAGACTTTATCGCTTTGAAGCTGATGCAGAGAAACTTTGAACATAATTGTAAAGAGTAACTAGCACCTCGTTTTATTTGACATTTATGAAACCTTTTCCGGTTCGGGTGCAGCTGTTTAACGAGTCCAGTGTGCAGGTTTCTTTTTCGGGTCACTTTAGAGACTCTCAGAAACTGAGACTGATTCACACTGAGCTCTGTGACGAGGTCTAAGCTTTTTATTTCCGGATTTTATCCGAAAAAATAAAATGCATACTACTGAGTCATTATTTTATTTTTTGAAAATGCGTCTCGCCGGAAGTGGGCAATTGTGTTTCTTAATTTTCCGGACTTTCTGTAAAAGTAGGTTCACAGAAAACGAACAGAGCAACTATCAGGAGGACAATTTGATATCTGTTCAATATGATTAATGCGATCTCTGATTCATCTGAAAGAGTTTTGAGTTCTGAAACACGCTGAGCTGATTCACTGTCTAACCTTTAGACTGATCACAGTCCACACACACACTTGTCTCTCAGCCTGTTTATTACAGCTGTTTTATGATGAGTGTGCGTGTACAAACTCACTCTCTGTCCACTCGCACAAAAAGAGGAAGTTGTGTTACTAAATATCACTGACTTCCTGTTTGCAGTAGAAATGGTCTATCTGACAGTGATGTGCGGCTGATATCTGAGGTTTCACAGCCATAGCACGCCAACAACAAGCTGTATATGAAAGATGTAACCTCGGTGATTTCACCCACTGCTTCGTGGACTCTGTACAGACTTAGTTACCTGCTAATTAGTGACAGCCAATCAAAATCCTTTAATAGCCCTTATTAACTGGAGCTCAGATTTCCTGGATGGCCTGTTAGTACAGTAACCTCACAGCAGCCATGTAAGATAATGTCATTAAAATGAAAATGTTCAGCCCTTTTTTGTTTCTTATTAATGTCCAGGTGTGCGCTGCTGGGCGGTAGATCTGGACGTCTCCGTTCTGGATCAACAGCTGAAGCTCTTTGTGTCGAGACATTCAGCCTTCCTGTCAGAAGAAGTGCGAGGTAAGCCTGTATTGGGATTGATTGGAGGAAAGAGGAGTGGTCAGACACTCGGGGTGGATTTGTACCCGGGCCTCTTAAGCCAGTACCCTGTGGACCTCCATGTTTGATGTGTTCTCTGATGCTGACCCTGGCGGCCTCGGAGGATTTTAAAATGCATGAAATGCTTTCGATCAGCAGAGGAAAGTCCCGCTGATGCCTTTATCAATAGCATCATTAATTTCTGTTCAGCAGGATGATGGCACACTGGGGTGTTTTAGATCAAATGAAAAGCAGTTTTGTCCTGTGACTTGTGCTCATGGCCACAAGCTGATGGCGTGAGGCAGCGCTTCTGTTTTTTTGTAAACAGGACCTCAGACTGAGGCGGCAAGGACAGCTTTACAGAAACTGTCAGCAGCTCAGGACTCTGCAGGAGGCGTGAAGAACCGCGAGTCCTCAAACACGGCCGCTTGTGTCACATGACCTGGAGTCTGAAAGAAAATCACAAGGACTTTTAGATGTGTGCAGGATTGTGAGGGTGACCAAACGGATGAAGGTTCGCACAAGTGTCAGACTGTGTGTGTGTTCCCTGAACCTCTGAAAGAAACCGTACTTCATGTTTTCGTTCCCTTTTAGCTGAAACGTTAAAGCGGGAAAACCTCACCGTCAGCTCACAGGAAGCTCTGTAACGGGACAGTGATCAGACATTAGTTGCTGAGTTTAAATTATTAATGTTCGGGGTGGGATGTGGGTCCATCTCAGGTCATAACAGTTTAAAAACACCTGACCGTCTCAGTCTGAGCGATGCAGTTTCACGTGCAGCAGTTGCCAATTTCCTCTGCAGACGTTCTTCCAGCTTCATTCACTGAAGGATCCGAGTGGAGTTTTCTTCAGAATGAACAGGTTTCTGTGGATGCTGGTTACAGAATGTTCCACGTGTTTTGTTCTGAAACGATCGAGAACCAGTCACATATCACCTGTGACTGGGAGATATCCTTGTCACTGACAGGTCCTGCTAACATGGATAAACAAAGATCCATCCATCCATTCTCTTCCTCCTATTCTTTTTTTTTTGGGTTGCGGGGGCTGGAGCCTATCCCAGATGTCTTAGGGCAAGAGGCAGGGCACACCCTGAACAGGTGGCCAGTCTGTCACAGGGCTAACACATAGACACAGATACGTGGACCTCAGAATCTGTTTGAGATAACCACAGATAGACGGTACTTCTTGTGACCTTACTGATGGGGTATCCAAACTGAGCTTGCCGTCCACTGTGATGCGTGATGCCGAGCTTCCTGACACTCACCGTGACACAGAGATGATGAATATGAAGGCAAGGGGCAGCTCTCTGACGGGGAGTCCAGAGCAAAGCGGTGATGGGGAGGTTGAGTGTCGTCAAAATTTGGTGGTCATAATAATGATGAAGAAGATGAACATCATCATCATCAGTTTTGAGGGTTTAAAGTTGACATTTTATAACTTTGCTGTGTTTTCCTTTAATTTGACCCTCCCAATCTTAACACTTGGTCTAAACTGAGGAGTTGAAGGCTCCTCAAATTCTGCTCAGCTCCTCTGAGGCCTTTCAGTGCATCTGAAAGACTAACAGCTGATGGCCCAGGTGTTTACCCTCTGCCTCACCTAAGAGGAAAGTTGACCTGGGACAGGTCAGCGACTTAAAGGCGACGACACGGACAGAGGGTAAATCAGACTGTGGCACAGTTGATCCAACAGGACGGAGTGAAGTCATCAGTCTGAGGGGCTTTAAACAGAGACAGATAATTGGTTGTTCCATCCAAACACAAACACAGTCAGCTGAGACTCTGCTGAGCCGCCCAAAGACATACAGACGATTGTGGCTCAAAGAGTTGGCAGTTCGTCTTGTAACCGAAAGGTTGCCGGTTCGAGTCCCTCGTTGTGTCCTTGGGCAAGACACTTCACCTACCGCCTACTGGTGATGGCCAGAGGGGCAGCCTCGCTTCTGTCAGTCTGCCCCAGGGCAGCTGTGGCTACAACTGTAGCTTGCCTCCACCAGTGTATGAATGTGAGAGTGAATGAATAGTGGAATTGTACAGCGCTTTGAGGGCCCCGAAAAATGCTATATAAATGCAATCCATTATTATTATTATTATTATTATTAGTATTATTATTATTATACGTGCGCACACACACGCACCCAGACAGACAGACACGCATGCACACAGATGATGAGCTTTAGTTTCAATGGATGTATTTTCAGTGGAACCTGGCAGGGAGTGTGGTGGGTGGATGTGGTCTTGAGCGATGTCCCACCAATGAATGAGCAGCTGCAGCACTCATGGAGAGAACAGGAGAGTGAGCAGGAATTAGGGCAAACCTGAGGGAAGATCTCCCCCTGACACTCGTTTGTCCTGTTTGTGTTTTTCAGGTCAGCGGACTCTCCAGCACAGCGGGGACGTCCTGGACACGCAAGTCGTGGTGAATCCAGGCTCAGAGTTTGTTTCCTCAGAGGTGAGTCAGACGTCAACCTTTACAGATGTTTTCTCAGCTGTTGGCAGGCTCTCGCGTACACGGAGATCAGCTGATCTCCTGTATATCTGAGAATACTTCCTGGCTCAGTTTGCTAGGTGTGTGTCTGAGTATGTTTTTATTTCCTCTGAGCTGCACCGATGATGCATTTCCTGTTTCAGGTGCGGCGGCTTGTCTGCAATCCATCGCGCCGCAAACTGCTGATTCTCGCCGGTCAGTGTGTTGAGGGCAGCGGCGACATTGTACTGCAGAAAGGCTGCTTCTCCCTCAGCAACCTCATCCAGATTTTTTCTGACGAGGAGGTAAGCAAACTGTGTCTTTGTTGGTTTTGTTTACACAGCACGTTTAAGTGCTTGCTGATGTTCAAGTTGCTTGACTCTGTGTCGACAGGTCGGTGAACTGCTGAGCTCGGCAGGCCCAGCGGTGAAGCCTAGCCTCACCCTCAGCTGTCCAGACTCTGGCCTTTGGAAGGAGCCGGCACTGGAGAAACACAATCTGCAAGACTTCATAAACATTCGGATCAACCCTCCCCCAGTCCTGCCCGAGATGGAGGGTTTGCAAGAGTTCATAGAGTACCTTTTGGAGTCTCTGGAGCCCGAGTCTCCCTTCGACCTACTGGAGCCCCCAAGCACCGTGGGCTTCCTGAAGCTGTCTCGACCTTGCTGCTACATCTTCCCTGGCGGGAGGGGTGACTCTGCCTTCTTCGCTGTTAATGGTTTTAATGTCTTGGTGAACGGCGGCTCTGACTCACGCTCCAGCTTTTGGAAACTGGTTCGACACTTGGACAGGATTGACGCTGTACTGTTGACACACATCGGAGTGGACAATCTGCCGGGCGTGAACA